ATATAAAAGTGTTTTTAGAGAAGTTGTCAAAAGTAAGTAACTTTTGAAAGTCGCTTCTGTCATGAAATGCGATCCAGTTTTGAGGGGACTATCAAATAGAGACTAAATTGAAGTTGAGCTGAAGTTTTGTTCAAAAGTGGCAATAAATCAAGTCATGAAATATTCAGTGCATGGCTTATATTTTGTTGCAATAATGTTGGAGAGAATGTGTTCGCATATAAAACTCTATTGTGTTGTAAATGTTGTTATAAGACTCATAGGAGTTGTAAAGCGGATCAGACTCTCAGACACTCTCACAACACAAGCCAAACACAGTATAGAGCGCTGCAACTGATCATCAGTTTCAATGCATTTTCAATGATTATAGTGTATGAAATGCAACACTGCTTTTGGAGTGAAGTAGAGTCCACCAGAATATGGTATATACTGTAATATGGAGTCAATATTCATATGTCTTGATTACTGTCACATAATAGGCACCAGCCATTAGTCATAGCCTTTTGCAGTTAAATGTAAGGCCAGAGTTAATTGGCATCGATTAGTGTCCTATCAATTTGCTGTAATGCACTCCCCTTATGGAACATTGCCTTATAGTATGATATGATATGATAAGCCAGTGGTGTATAGCCGGCACATCCAACACATCCTTTAGTCCTATCACTCCTAACTCACATCCAATTCAACTCAATTGTCATAAAAGCGTTTTTGTTAAATACTCCAAACATAAAGTATTGCAATTTTAATATTGAATTAAGTTGAGTGCATTCACTACCAGTATATCACTATATGCCTACCAAACAGTGTCTGTGCTCTGCCTGGCATTGCCTGCGCTCGCAGTTGTGCCGCATTTGTGGCCGTTTGTGAGGATAGAGAGGCAGAGGGCAGGTGTGACCCATCGGTGAGGGTTCTGTTGATCCTCATCACCACAAGTCTAACCATGCAATCACTCTCATCGATCACACTATTATATGCCATTCATTACACTATTGTCACTCATTGTCCATTTCTCCAAACTATAGTCTCTTTACTTGTTTTCTAAATATTTTTATACTAATTATTGTTTAAAACTTTCTTTATTCCGGTCCCACAATCAAAACAAAATATCGATTGCATTGGCGTTTACTTCATTGATATAGTAATGACTTTAAAAATGCACAATACAATACAATATATTTTTTGTACTCTATTTCAATAATAAGTCAGTCATAGAAATTATATGAAAATCAAGTAATGTTTAGCCAAAACTGTTTACATGAGATCTGAATATAATAGAGTGGAGAAACTGTTATTATATGCAAACAATTGTTTGCTTTTGTAGTGATCTCTTTTCATAAGCATTCAATTTGACAAAACGGATCGTTAGTTTGCAATGTTTGCCAATGACTCCTACAATGGCATGACATATATGACCACATTCTCACAAACTATTCTTTTGCAGTCAATTTGTTTTTTCCTCTAAAACTCGGTTTTATCACCGAATTTAGTCTTTATGTTTGAAGTGAATTTGGTTTTACATTATATATGAAGTGAAGAGAAAACAAAATAATTTCAAGTTAAATATCGGAATCTGAAAACGTATGGCAATATTGGATGCGATCCGTGACTAACGATTTCTTTCATGTTTTTTGAACTTAAAATTGAAGTTTTTCTCAATATTTCCCATTGAATGAGGGATTACAGCAAACAAAAGAAAAATCGACAAAAAATACTAAAACAGCAAAATAAAAAGCAAGAAATAAAATCCTTCAAAACATCTCATTAAAGCACTTTAAAAATTCAGCGATTTTTAAGCCATTTGTCGATCAAAACAAATAAAATATGAAAATAATTGTTTGACTTTGAGATGAAATTTACAGATAAGTTAATGATTAGTACTTTATATAAGCGTTTGAATGGAAATGTAAATTTTTTGTTGTATTTTGAAAACGTATTTAAATTAGAGATGAAAAGCAAATGAAACGAAACACACATCGATTTTTTGGACACAAAAATGTTTTGATAAAAGGATGCCTTAAATGAGAGGCATTTGGAGAGCATCTCTGGTTAACGTTATCTTGAAAACCAGAATTTATTGAAAAAACAAAATCTGTTTTATGAAAAGACTATATAATTTCAAAACAATTTAAATTTAATATCCAGTGAAAGAATGAAATATTTTTATACTTAAAATAAAAGCCTCTCTTAAAATTGATTGCCAGAATGGGAATCGCTATAAATTTTCATAAATATTCATAAATATTTAATTTAATTAATTTTCTTTAAATAAATATTAATATCAGAGCATAAAAGTTAATTAAATTTTTTATTCTTACATATAATCTCTATTATTAATCATTTTTATAAATAATCATCGATTAAATAATATTTATAAATGAAATCCTAATTTAATAAAAAAGTATTACATGAAATTAAGTGCAACTAAAAGCAATTAATTTGATTCGCTTTATGTAAGAATATTGAAAATAAAATAAATGATTATTAACAACAGTGTAATATAATTAAGTGTTTTATAGAGTATATTTATAAGTAGATAGACATTCACAAAGCAAACCATAACATTAGGCAAACAAAATAGAGATGAACTTTTGATAAATGAAATGAATTGTCATTGAATTGATGAGAAGTGTTGGCAATGATGTGGTGTCAATGTGTTGTCAATTTGTGATTATATGTTGTAATAAATACTGAAGAATCAAAAGTCATTTCCTTTATATAAGGGATAGGGAGACAAAGTTAATGTCAATGCATATAATGCTTCCGTGAATGCGATGAAAGCAATGAAACAATGAATGCATTCATTTGGATATGAGTTACGAGGAACTGATAAAACGATGCAATGGTTTGCATTCAAATGTGAAGCCAGTGTGTGCTCTATTGATTGCATATTTATAAGCAATTGATGACATTGTAATCAATTATTTACTTTAAAATATTTAAATTATAATAAACCTACAGTAACATTATTTCTACGCGATGAGCATACCAGTTATATAACAAAACATTACAGTATTATATAATATAATACATTTAACAATACCCTGAGGATTGGCTTAGAGTGCAATTAGTATTCAAAAGTGTATGCATTTAGAAATGGCTGATTCACTATATTCTCGTTTAGGAAACATTCAAATGCATACCATATTAATGCACTTTTAAGCACTTTATGTAAAACTAGAATTAATCACAATTTATTTGATTAATCTTCTATTCGCTAATAAAAGCTATTGTTTATAATATTGGGATTTAAGTGTATTTCACTCAATAACAAAGCATATAAAATTAGTCAAAAGCATTTTATGTTTACATCAAATTTATTGACAATTAATTCTATTCACTTAAAAGCAAAACAAAATAAAAAATCTTTAAATTATTTGTTGATAAAACCAATAGAATTTTAAATGCTTTCAAATAATTACAATTGAATACAAGAGGAGAGAGAGAGAGAGAGAGAGAGAGAGAGAGATAAGGAAAATATTCAACAATTTAGTCGTTCTGTTTAGTAATGGATTATAAATTATGATAAGTTTAATGCAAACCTAATAAGTGGTAAATATTATTATTCTGGTAAATGTCTTTCGGGAGAATTAATGTAAGCTAACCGACCACTCATTCGCTTTATTACTTCATATAAATTATACTTACATTACATTTAGTGATGTTTTCTAGATTTGCAAAAACAACCTCTTGTTTGCATCCAAGCGTTAAGTTTTAGTATAATATAATGTGTTTAATGACTAATTAGCATAAATTAAATCAAAAATTAATTTGAAAATTTTCGTAAATTTATACACAGCTTTCATTTTAATAAGTTTACTGTTTATTTATAAAAAATTTTAAAATATTTTTAAAATTATTATAAAAAGTGCTATAGTTTTAAGCAACATTAAAGATTTTAGAATCTGTTTTATAATATAAAAATTATTAACACTATTAATTAAAGCATTTGTAATCATAGAAATATTTTTTAAATACTTAAGTGCTTGCTATTTGTTTGCAATAATAAACAAAATAATCAAAAATCAATTCTTAAGAACTACTAATTTGAACGCCAGAAGCAAACATTACTTAATTCACCCCAACTTTTGATTTCAAACCCTCAAAGCAAAACAGTTTAAGGATTTGTTTCTTTCTATTCAATGATTTCAAAATTTCTTCTAATGTCTAGATGTCTGTCCAATATATGATAACATCTCTAAAATTTATTGATTTATCAATGGATTTGTAATTTAAATAAAAATCTGTATTTTTAATAATATCTAAATTTATGTGCTTTATATTATGGGAGTAAATGTTTCTGATGAAACTTGCTTAAATGGACACAAAAAAATTATTTAAAAATTACATTTAAATTTTCATACTATAAAAGGTGCAATACATATTTTGTTTCATAAGCTTTATGTACAATAATTATTTTGCTAACTCATAACCCCTTATAATAAAGTGAAATACACTTTGAAATGAGCGAAACTAAATCAAAATACATTTAATTCATGCTTTGATTATTGCAATCAATTGTGTGCATCAGTCCAGCCATGGAGGAGGTGTTGAGACTCTATCGATAATACGAGTCATACGACTGCAACCAATTGGAGTCTAGAGTTGGCCTCCAATTATGGTAAACACGTTTGCTTTGGGAGAATGGCTTGCATTCAATGGATTCACTCAAAGCACTCTTAGATCCACTGTAACCGCACCCAAAAGGCTGTCCAAAAAGCAGTTAAATTACCATTTTTTGGACAAACTTTACAATGTGTTTGTGTTGTGAGTCTCAAGACTAAGATATACTCAATTGAGATGCGATCGGGTATTAAGCGCTAACTTTACAAATACTTTACACAAACTGTTTGTTTAAGACTTGTTTCGCAAAACATTGATTTTCACTGAATATTCGCCAGAAAGTGATCTCATGTTATGTTTATTCAGCGATTCCTATGATCTGACAATAGTGTGAATATTAGGCTGAAAGTGAATGACTACCCAATAATCTTAGCACTTATTCAATGGTTAAAAGCAATTCCTACTCCAACTCATCAATGCCTCGGTCAGTGTCCTCGAGTCCTATCAACTCCGACGCCAGTATTGACATCAATGATGACGACGAAGACATGTCTCGGTCACCAAAACGAGAACCACTTTCATCACCGCTTATACATCCGAACGGTTCCATGAATTGCAGTAAACCATCGAAACTATCATTCAGTATAAGTCGCTTATTGGGAGCCAATAGTGACTCTAAACACAATCAAAGCGGCACTACATCTGAAGGGGAGTCGGAATCTCCGTCATCCCTGTGCTCTCAGTGCCCGTCGACTGAAAACAATGCAATCGTCTCATCGTATCCCTCGTCCTCATCGCCGGACTCCAAATGCCAGTCCCATCGCATGACTGTCAGCCCCTACGACCACTTGACTGGCGGCGCGTCCGTCATACGAGTGCCCGCACACAGACCGCCACCGACTATGCCTTACACTACACACTACCCCTGGTTAGGACCCACACCTCCCACACTCATTAAAGATGGCTTACAAAGTATGTCTCAACTATTTTATATGCATTTATAACACAATTTTATTAAGTTATATACAAATGAATCGCAACTAAATTATTGGCCCATTATTTGGTGGTTAAAAATGTCACATTTTAATANCTCAATTGAGATGCGATCGGGTATTAAGCGCTAACTTTACAAATACTTTACACAAACTGTTTGTTTAAGACTTGTTTCGCAAAACATTTATTTTCACTGAATATTCGCCAGAAAGTGATCTCATGTTATGTTTATTCAGCGATTCCTATGATCTGACAATAGTGTGAATATTAGGCTGAAAGTGAATGACTACCCAATAATCTTAGCACTTATTCAATGGTTAAAAGCAATTCCTACTCCAACTCATCAATGCCTCGGTCAGTGTCCTCGAGTCCTATCAACTCCGACGCCAGTATTGACATCAATGATGACGACGAAGACATGTCTCGGTCACCAAAACGAGAACCACTTTCTTCGCCGCTTATACATCCGAACGGTTCCATGAATTGCAGTAAACCATCGAAACTATCCTTCAGTATAAGTCGCTTATTGGGAGCCAATAGTGACTCTAAACACAATCAAAGCGGCACTACATCTGAAGGGGAGTCGGAATCTCCGTCATCCCTGTGCTCTCAGTGCCCGTCGACTGAAAACAATGCAATCGTCTCATCGTATCCCTCGTCCTCATCGCCGGACTCCAAATGCCAGTCCCATCGCATGATTGTCAGTCCCTACGACCACTTGACTGGCGGCGCGTCCGTCATACGAGTGCCCGCACACAGACCGCCACCGACTATGCCTTACACTACACACTACCCCTGGTTAGGACCCACACCTCCCACACTCATTAAAGATGGCTTACAAAGTATGTCTCAACTATTTTATATGCATTTATAACACAATTTTATTAAGTTATATACAAATGAATCGCAACTAAATTATTGGCCCATTATTTGGTGGTTAAAAATGTCACATTTTAATATTAAGAATGATAACCATGTGACACAAATAATTGTTATATATTGTAATAATAAATGAGTTATTTTTAATTAAAAGTAGAAGTGATAGAAGTGATCCAATAATTAGTTAGTTTGATGAGTCGATGGTATAATTATTTATTAACGAGAGAATGAGAGCCAATACTGACAGAGAACTGACGGTAGAGTTAATAATGTATTCCTTATTTCATGGCCTATAATAACATAAGAGTTGCGTCTAAAGTGCTATTAGTTATAAAAGCGTTGTTTTAAATCCATGTAATAAAGTTAATGCATTGGGTATTATATTAATGCTAGCAGGAATGGCAGGACAGGTACAGGTGCGACAATTATGCTTTTTTATATGCTTTTGAATTATATGCATAAACAGCGTAAATAAATACCATTTAGAGTACGAGTGCTTTAATTTGCATCAAAGCTAATGAGTCTGTGATGTGGAGAATCTTTTCAGGCGTTCACTACCATTGCATTCATTGCTAATTCAATGCAATTGAAACACAAAATATTAATAAATACGACATTTTCTGCGTTTAAGTTGCCTTTCAGTCATTTAAGACCACTTATTCATATATATAAGGAGTGCCAACACTGTTGGGCACAACTCCTATACTCTGAACAAAAAAACAAAATACATTTTTAAAGAACATTAAAGTAAAAGCATATTATGTTATACTATAATTTATAAAACAAAAAAAACCTTACATTTCATTTAAAAAAGTATTTTGTGTTTAACAAAAGTCCAGTCATTTGACAGCATATAAGAGCCAAAGTGTTTCATTAAAATTAATGTCAGGAGCATTTTTCAGTTTTGCTTTATTATACGAGTCAAATTGATTTTCAAAATTGAAACAAAAAAGATAAAACTAAAAAATGCTTGTCTATTTAGTTATCATAAGTAGTTGTAATAATGATCGTGAAATTGATGTTTTTCTTCAAATCAAATGCAATACAATTAAATTTAACCAAAATATTAATTACCATTTAATACATTATACCATATTTATAGGCAATTATTTTCGCCCACTTTTTAAGTATTTTTTGTGGCAGTCATTCATGAAATGAAATAAAGAAAAGTGAGTTTTAATGAAAACATTGTTTGTCGGAAAACCATTAATTTTGCTTAAATATGCTTTTTATACAAATATGTTCACAATATAATAATTGTTTTAAAGGCGTATAACTGTATAGTATATATCAAAAGATCATTTTCTCGTATCATTAACACTATAATGAAATTATGGGATAATTTCAAATGTAATTGCTATGATTTAAAGTGAAAAATTTAAGTATTATTTATCTTATATTAGTTTTAAGGTTTCATTTCAAAAATACAAGCGAATGTGAACTTATGCCACAATTTATCGATTATTTCAAATAAATACAATTTATTGCCGATAATTGCAATTCATATGAAATGTCTGTTTTGATGGTTTGATTCAATTGTAAGACTGACGCCAATAACGAGAAATGCTTTCAGTTTTAATTATCCTATCATTTGCTATAATACTGAATGTTTAAAAAAGTTTGAAATGATATTTAGATGGTTTTGATAGGAATCAAAGCAATAACTATACATTAATTTGTCTCACATTTGATTTCTGTTTATCACTAAAAGAAATAATATTTGAAATGTATTTGGCGTCTGAGCTCCAGTTGCAGTGAATCAAAGCATGAAAATCGTTGACATTGAAGCCAAACAGACATCACTATAACGTATAATAATCTAAGACTCACATCAAGAGCTCATCTCTGCTTCTCTAACACTCTGTCGACAATAATCTCTATTTATTTGAACAGTCAATACATTTCAATCACAAGTCTATACATGTCTTACTCTGTGTTTAATTCTGTCAAACAAACTAATTGATTGATTTGAATTATGTTTGCTTTACTCAATGCACAAAATTATTAGTAATTATTATCAATAATCAAATGTTTTGAACAAATATTTACTCAACAAAAAGTCAACAAAATTTAAGTTTATTATTGATTATCTAAGTTATAAGAGATTCATGTGTTTGTAAGCCAGTGGTGGCACGCGTTACTAAGTCAACACAATTAAGATTAGGCCTAAAATGAGAGAAAGATAGAAAGGAGAGAGAGAGAGAGAGAGAGAGAGAGAGAGAGAGAGTTTATGGTACAATACTTGAATAGTTGAGACACGACTCAAGCACTTTAGGTATCAATCAATGCGTTTTACAGCTAAATGTACTGTACATTAAAGCGTATATTGTTTTACACCTGAGGGTAAACAAGAGCACCGGTCGCCGTCACCGGCAATAGAAAGGCCGGCCATAAACCTCCCGCTGAGAAGCTGTCAAATAAAACACCACAACTTATAATGGGTTTCCGATTCATAGACTTTGTTTCGTACAAACGTTTAGAAAACTCTTAGAAATGAGTATTTCATTGAATTCCGCACAAAAGCCGTGTTTGATGTGTAAACTTAACTATAAATTACTTGCTTACTAACTTTGCTTGCTAACTTTTATGCTTTCAGTGCCGTTTCCATTGGGTCCGGGTCTGCCTCCAGTGCCGGCGCGACGCATAGGACATCCCTATCAGAACCGGACGCCACCGAAGAGGAAGAAGCCGAGGACTTCGTTCACTCGGATGCAGATCTGCGAACTTGAGAAGAGATTTCATAAACAAAAATATTTAGCATCGGCTGAGAGGGCATCCCTGGCCAAGACACTTAAGATGACCGACGCTCAGGTCAAGACCTGGTAAGTGATCCCTCGCCGCACATAATGTAGTGCTCACTAGACTTTGACAAAACAATTGAATGCCATTTAAATAGGGATTTAATTAAAAATAGCACTTTTTCTCCCTATCTATGACAATATCAGGCATCAGGTGCTCTAAAAGTCAATTAATGGTTTCGCTTAAAAGGGAAATATTAAATAATAATAATTGGTTTATGCAATCAATTTGAGTTGTTTTCAAAACAATATGATGCATAAAATTGTCACATTTTCAACCACTTTATATCCATAGATGAATGCCTTGAAACGCATTGTGATGCCAACGCTTATTAAATGCTCATTGAATTTAAAATTTTGTTTTTTTGTTAGTCGCATAACAAATGATTTCAAATTTAATGATAGAATTATTTGTCAACCCTTTTTGGCTAAATTACTTTCAATTGTCGTTAAATGATTTCAAATGATGTTAAAAAGTAAAAATAGTTTTCTTTTACTAATTGAGTGTCAGATAAATTTAAGCATTTAAAATAAAAAAGGAAAATAATATACAATTATGTACTTATTATAATAGAAATCAAATGTGTTTTGTGTTAAAATTCAGTTCTTCTTCAGAAGCTTATAAGCGATTGTATTATTATTTATACTATTATTACATATATTTATTACAACATATATATTAATACATTTATAGGGTATTTGCTATTCTTTTGAACTGGTTTTACGAGAAACTTGGCTTCAAATCTATGATATGATAAATGAGTAGAAAGTTAGAGTAGTTTTTCATACAATCTCTGAAACGATAATTAGAGAAATATGTTTTTAATAGTAATATTATTTAACTTGTGTTTGGGGTTTGGGATGAGAAAAGAAGTGAACGTTTAGTATAATTGACAGCTTTTCATAAATATTAATAATAAAACAAAATTACTTGTATTTAACAAACGTATTAATATTGTATTTATTTTCAATATTTTTTAGGTTTCAAAATAGGAGAACAAAGTGGAGGTGAGTTCACAATAGTTTTGTTTTCTATTTATGTTATAATCACAATCAAGTGGCGCCGACCGGTCAGGTATATAAGCATAGACTTCCAAATAAGCATAGGTAGAGTCATAGGCACTGGCATAGGCACTGGCATAGGGGTTCAAATTGTATATTCAATGTCTAATTCTCTTATTCTCATATTCTGTCTCCACTGACAGACTGACTGACTATCTCTGCTTTAAGTTTGTGTTTTCATTTGAGAGTCAAATATCTAAAGTACAGACAAAAGTACTTTTCATTCGTATCTTCTCCTAAAGAGAGCTATAATTTAGTTGAAAACACATTTAGAACTAAAGCCTCAAAGTTGTGCTAATATTCCTCAAATGAGAGGAGAGAGAGAGAGAGAGAGAGAGAGAGAAGTGGCACTAAAATGAGAAAATGAGTGCCACTAATATATGGCTATAAGGCATTACAAGCATTAGTGAGTTTGCCGTCAACGCCAACAAAATATACTGCACTTCAAACAAACCAAAAGTCCAACCAATGCTTAAATAAAACAGTGGTTCAGGTCTCACATCAAATCCTTCTCCAATTTTGCCGAATCTGTAATTTTCTTCCCATTCCTCTCATATTGACTTCAAAACTATAAATTTGTGAGATTTATTTATTTTAGATATATTACGGTATATTAAATACATTTCGATTATTATTGAATTTATTACAACAGAAGTATTATAAAGTATTAATGAATATTAAATGTATTTTTCGAAATTAGTTTCATTGATACTTTCCCTGTAAGTGATTATCGGCATTAACACCATTTCTAAATCATTAGTTTAACTGAATTATTGTTTGCTTTAAATTAATAAAAATTATTTTAAATGTCAAACATATAAATTGAAAGAAATTCAATTTAAAAACAATTTAAAAGCGTTTTCTCGAAATTATATGTATTTTTAAATGAATGCAAAATTGAAAATTCAATTCAATTGTAGTTTTTTATGATTTCCTGATCCAAAGCACACAAACATTCAAAATATTTTCTCAGCGATCGGTCGCCGAGTAGGCGCCCAACCGATCGTCACGCGTGAGTGATATCTTCAGACCTGCAATCTTTACGTCATTGCATAACACCTTAACATACCTGTGCCCTCACTCTATGCTCGTTTAGATCACTTTGCATTTATTCAAACATTTGCCACAACTCTATCGGACTATCAGACATATAATAGACTTAAATCTAAAAGTCTTTAAAAAGAAAATTAAGGAAAATATTTATGATTTCAGGCGACAAACAGCTGAGGAAAGAGAGGCTGAAAGACAGGCCGCCAATCGACTGATGATGTCATTGCAGGCCGAAGTGGTGTCAAAATCGATGTACGGATCGGGACAGTCGGCTGCCGAGCACAGCGCCGGTATGGCGGCCCATCACGCGGCGGCTCAGGCAGCGGCGGCCGTAGCGCGCGATTCGTTGTGTTTGAGCTCTTCGTCTCTTCACGCACTCCAGAACCTGCAGCCCTGGGGTGGGGACAGTCATCACGCAGCTATGATAGCTCATCATCACCACGAGAGATCACCCTTTCCTATGACATCAGCCATGTGTTAGTTACTAAAGTGGTAGCGAACCGGACGTAAGGCCGCATTCAAAACACTAGTCGATTGTGAACTACACCTCAGCATTGATTGCAAAGACAATGAAAACCTATCGAAGTATCAATAGTAAGCCCTAACTATCACAACATTAGTTCAATAAATGTATAGTAATATGATTATCATTACATCGATTGCAAAACCAAACATCTTATTTAAATCTACTGTAAAATAAAACATCGATATACTGTATCATTAAATATAACACAACTTCCAGTATTATTCTTATTATTATAATAATTATGATTAATATAACCAATAATTGAATTGAAGATAAATACATTAAACATAACGAAAAATAACGCAAATATTGATTGTATGCGAGAAACAGATTGTAAAATAGAGTTAGAGTGAACTTAAATGAACTTTTTTAAGTTTCAATTTTAGTCTTGTATATAATTTTTTCCCAATTACTTAAACTTTGTGACATTTATTATAATTAGTATGACGTGTATAACAATTGCATGTTTGAGAACCAAATGTTTTATTATTACATTAGAAATATGTTAATATGAATACATTTTCGATCTTTTATGCATTTATTTTCTGTGATGTATTACCATTCAGTAATAAATAAAAGTATGAAACAAAAGCGAAATTCAAATGGAAATAAATGAATTCAATCCCAATCAAATGCTAATTTTGAATCATTTGTGAAATAAAATGGTGATATGATTAGGCCTCAAGTCATTAAAGAGCTAAATGTCTTAACATTTGTTAATCAATACAAAGAATGCATTCTTTGAATTGCTGTTTGAATGAAACACATTTTCTTAACAACAAAATGTTTCATTACTGTATTCATTTGATATCGTATTAAAAATCAAGAGTTAATTAATCAAAATGGGGGTTACTTAGATTTAATGGGAATAAGTATATCAGTATAACTTATATTATATAAGTATATCGTTTTAAGAATAAATTATCCTGAATAATTATATACTTAACAGAATTAATACTATATATTTTTATTTTATTTAAATTTCTAATCTTTAATGGACAATTGACTTAAATCTAGTTTTGATTACAAGTTAAATTTCAATGCTAGAAAGTTAAATCACACACAAATGATTTAATTGAAATTGAAGTAAATATAAGAGTTTTGATAAAAAAATTCATAATATAAATAATTAGTGATTTTAGTGATTGTATTCGGAACTGACTTTTGTCACTAAATAAATAAATTTAATATAATTTTTATTACAAAAGCGTACAAACGAGTAACAAAAATGATTTGTTAGTAATTGCATGTCAAATGTTTATTACTTATTCTGTAGTTATTATAAGTGTATATCACATATGAAAGCAATTCCCTTAATTCGTATCTAACAGTCCGACAGACAGTATGTTAAGCGTTGCCTTTCAGTAACCAATGCTTCAACTCATTAAATATATGAGCGTTTTTTGAGCGCAAACTAAATTTGATGACAAAAGTCACCAGAGGAACAATAACTATTAGCCTGATTACCACCACCACTAATGAACACTATGAACACCAACACTACCAACCGTTACAATGGACTCGCATTCTGTATAATAACTGTTGTCTCCCTATCCACTCGTACCATACTTTCCTCAACCACTTTAAGCATAAATTTCATATTAATATTACAAATAGATATGACTTTTGATGATATTCTCAATTTGATTTGTTTAGAATAATTGCCTTTTAATGAAAAGTATGCAAAAAATCAATTCAAAAATCAAATGAATTTACTTTAGAATTTTATTTGGAAGCAAAACTTTTCAATAATATCGTGTTTGAGTTTGAATAGAAATTGTGAAATTGATTTGTTTATAATCTGTTAATAAAACACAACAGAATTTGTTATCCAAATAGCAGTCATTGAAGCGATCAGTGGATTGTGAGTACATTAATGGAGGTTAACCTCAACACCAGTTCCGACAGCGACTGAAGTGACTGTCGGAGTGAAGAGTGGGAGCTGTGGTTCAGCCATACATTCAGTCATTCAATGATACATTTGATTCATTGAGTCATTCATTTGTATCATTTGGTGAAAGAGTATAATATATGGAGTAAAACAATGTATGGATCGGTAAGGCATACAATAATCTGTGGCGCGTAAAATTAGTTTGGCTTTTATGTTATCAGTTGTACGTGTTATGCATGAGAGGGTATGGACCACACCTGCCCTCCACATGAGACACAGGGAGACACCGGTGCAGACGAGTCACTAATTTGTGCGAAATTAAAACGAAATCATGTATTCTGGTTGTGCTGACGCTATAAAATGCATATTTAAACGATCATCAAAAATGGGTTTACTATCAAAAAAGTGGTCATATATTTATTGTCTCTGCAATCAAATTAAATATCCAGAGTTTGCGTACGAGTAGTGTTTGGCATACTATGGGCTCACCATTGCGTGCCATTCATACCATTGATTACATATCATGGCATCAAATCTTTTTCCCAAAACGGATATAATTGAAGTGCACTTCGATTTCATACCATTTCTTATCTTTATTTTGTTTTAATACTATTATATGGTATTAATTATTTATTATTTAAATAGAAAAGTCTCAAACTCTTAAAATAGGCGCACAAATTACAATCACATTTAAATATTAGTCCAAAAGTTTGTATTAAGTTTTAATCACATGATGGCAATTATTCAGAATTCAAATTATTTGTCTATAAAAACCAACGCCTTTAATAATGATAATTAATTTAAACAACTCTAATACCATTAACATAATTTTAATACTTTACTCAAGGCTTGCCTATCATTAAATATGTTTATATTTTGCAAATCTGAGAAATTTAATATTTTCGAGAATTGAATTTCAATTTTCTTAGTCTCTGTGCAAAGAGTAGTGAAAACAATTAACTTTAATAACATATTTAGTTTTGATTCAATGATATGAAATTATTATAGGAAAAAAGCAGTTAATTATAGTTTTATATTATTTCAAAGAAAAAACTTTTTATCTCAATATATAATCATTTTATATTTTCATGTATTTAACATTATTCAGAACATATTTTGAATATTTTGCAAACATTTTGAATAAATAATTTATTTTATTGTCACTCTTTGTATTATTTAAAAATTACATTATTTGTCATTATTACAGGATTACTAAATTATATATAAAGTATTCATAATTATAGTCAATAAAAAATTGTTGTTCATATAAAACATTTGACGAGAAAACAGTTTTGATGACAATATTTATTTTAAAAGAGTTTAATTTAACGCTGAATACGATTATGAATTCATTTTGACGATCAAATGCATAATAAAAGTGATGTGAAAGTAGTGTTTATAAGTAGTGGAGTATCTCTTATATGCGATACACTTATAAGAGTATCAAATAATGATAGCTCGGAGGCCAACGATTTAATAATAAATGCTAAACTCATTTCTGATTCCTATTCGTCGTCTCAGCCCTCCATCTCTCATCTCCGAGCCATTAGTCGATCGTAAATGACTGGTTGTATTGAATTGCCAGCACTTGTTGTATAGAATAGTAGAATAGTTGTGTAAAAATGGTTTTGAGAGACAAGTTATTCTGCGAGAGAGAGAGAGAGAGAGAGAGAGCGAGAGAGCGAGCGAGAGAGAGAGAGAGAGAGAGAGAGAGAGAATGGCACTCAAAGATGTCATTTAATTTCAAAACTAAAGCGTTGACTCAAACATCGTTTTCATGTGATGCCTATCAGGAGCTAAAAGAGCCACAAAATTACTTTCAACTAAAAACATGGCCCAAGGTTAGGGTAGGTTTTTTGGGTAGATTAGGGTAAGTCTGGATAACTTAGCACTTAAACAAAGACTATGCGATAAAAAAAGGCACACATCAGAGAAATGCCGATTCAGTCGCCAAATCATTGAGAAAAATGCATCAATTCTTATAAAAAATATAAATGTTAAAAATTTATTATATGTTTTCACATCTATTACTATAAATAGTTGTGGAAATGTTTTCATTCTTAAGAATTCATTGTATTCTTGAAGACAATATTTTAAAATCACTTAAAAGCAAAATAATTCAATGTTTTAGAGGAAATGGATGTGCTTTGGGGGGACATAAAAATTCTTAACAACTACTGTAGTATGGTTTGATTTTTTATTATTTTTAATACAAATTTCCTTGTGTCTTTTCAAATATGTTGTTCCCTTTTCATACTCATTAGCCAATCGTTTTATATTTATTATATTTTCTTTTTAAAAACTTGATTTATATCTATCTATTAATTAAAAATTATTTAATAGCAAATATGTTTTTGATTAATTGAATTAATTTGTATTTGATTTAAGAGATTATCGTTTTTAAATCCTTGAGTTTTAAAACATTTTATTCATAAATTAATGCTTTGAGTGATTGCCACATAGATATCATAATTATGATTGAAGTTTTCAATTGAGTCCAATAATTAGACAATTGTTTAGTATTATTAAAACTAATTAAAATGATAAAAGTATCCTATTTTTATGCGGTTACCAAAATAAAATAATCTATAATATTAATTGGAAATTTGTAAATGTTGAGATGTTTGCCTGGTAAATTATAGAGTACAGTATAAATAAAATAACTTATAAGTAAAAATTTACAGTTAAATGCATAACTAAGTTAATAAGAAAGAAGCATATAAAATTTATAAAAATACATATTATATAAGATATGTTTAGTTGTTTAATGTTTTGGTTATAAAAAAATCCTAAGCCAAACATTATTTTCTACTTTTTCTAAAACATGGTTTTTTATTTTTGAATCGTTTTTATAGAGAATATTATCAGTGAATGTAATCTCCATTAAGTGATTCGCTGCACAACAGCCACAAAACGCTGAGATAAACCAATACTTGTATTCAATTATGCATTTTCAAATGCTTTGAGTGATTGCCACATAGATATCATAATTATGATTGAAGTTTTCAATTGAGTCCAATAATTAGACAATTGTTTAGTATTATTAAAACTAATTAAAATGATAAAAGTATCCTATTTTTATGTGGTTATATATATAATAACAAAATAAAATAATCTTTAATATTAGTTGGAAATTTGTAAATGTTGAGATGTTTGCCTGGTAAATTATAGAGTGCAGTATAAATAAGAGAGAATTATAATTTATAAGTAAAAATTTACAGTTAAATGCATAACTAAGTTAATAAGAAAGAAGCATATAAAATTTATAAAAAAATACATATCATATAAGATATGTTTAGTTGTTTAATGTTTTGGTTATAAAAAA